TTATAGCTTTTATAATAGTATTATTATTAGCTATCTTAGCTTCTTAAAAAGTAAAAGCTTATTAGCTATAGCTAAAACTAGACTATAAGTAAGAACTATTTTAGTAGTTAGCTAGCGTAGTAAAAGTAAAGTCTAGCTATAAAATAGGTTATTAAGAATATTAAGTAGTAAGATTATTCTACTAATATAATATATACTTAATAGTTAGATTAATTATAGAGCTACTATATATATTTAAGGCTAACGTAAGTACTAGTCTATTAGTACTACTTATAAATAAACTTAGCTTATAAATACTCTAACTAATATTAATTCTAGTATAGAAATATTATAGATAATAGGCGTGCTAGGTTTAGAGAGTCTAATAGTACTAGCTAAGTATTTATACTATTCTATTCTTAAAGTTTATAAATATATTAATAATCTTAGTTTAGCTAATAGATTTATAATAACGTATAAAGAAGCTTATAATAGTACTACTTCTAGTAAAAGAAAATTTTATAATACTATAATTCTATAAAGCGCTATAGTAGACTAGTTAATAGACTAAAGCTTATATAGTAGTAGAGATATAGCTATTAGACTTAGAGTAGTTTTTATTCTAGATAGAAAGTTATATATACTCTAAAACTTAGTATTATATTAGTTAAAATTATAGAAAAAAGTATAGTCTAAGTAGAATTATATTAGAACCTATTAGAGCTAAAGAGTATATATTTACTAAATTGTTTAGCGCGCTAAAAAGCCTAGTAAAAAGTATAGAAATTAGCCTCTAGTTAGTAAGCTCTAGGTAAAAAGTATAAAAGAGATAAATTCTTTCTATTATAGTAGCTTATTAATTAGTTAGCTAGAGTACTTTATTTAGCTACTAGAAATATTTAGTAAAGGTAAGTTTAATATCTAACTAGAGTAGATTCTTCTTACTACTCTACTTATATATCTTTTTAGTAAGTAGTTATAAAAGTTTACTTACTTATAAAGATATAAAGTAGAGATCTATAACTATAGTAAAGTTAGAAGTAATATAGTTCTAAAATTATATAATATATTAGAATAGGCGTACTAGTTATTATAAAAAAGCTTATAACTCTACTTATAAAGAAATATAACTAGTTACTTATAAGTAAACTTAGTAGAATAAATATAAAAAAGTATAGCTAAAGAAGTATAGTATATTAAATTAATCTAACTTTAGTTATTAGCTAGTAGTATCTTAAGTGTAGAACTAATAGAGCTTAGTAATTAGTAAAGTATTACTATATTTATCTTAGTACTCTAAAGATATCTCTTAATATATCTCTACTTATAGTAGCTACTAGTTACTATAGTCTAAAAGTAATATTAGTACTATAGAAGTAGAAATCTAATAAAAGTAGTAAAGACTAAAAGTATAAATTATAGTAATATTTTAAAAGAACTAAACTTCTTTTATAAAGTTCTTATTAGCTTTATATTACTCTTCTAAGTAAGCTAACTAAATTAAAAAGTATTTAGTGTTTAGAAAATACACCTACATTAAGATTACTATATAGAGTTACTAGACTGCGTTTTATTACTCTGCTCTGCATTAACATTCTACTATAATAAAAAGTATTTAAGTTTTATATTATTTTTAAAAAATAGTTAGTAAAAGCTAGAGATAAAATAAGTTTCTTACTTAAATAAAAATATATTAGCTTATTACTATTCTTAAAAAGAGCTAAATACTTTAAAAGTTTCTATAATTAAGCGTATAACTTATAGAAGTTTAGAGGTAATAGTAGAGTAAAAAAAGTTAATATTATTAAAAGTAATAAGATTATATACTTATATAATAGTATTTCTAGTAAGAGTAAAAAGTTATATTAAGTAAAAGTCTTAAAAGTCTAGAGAAGATAGATTATTACTTATAGAGAGAAAGTAGTATAGAAAGTATATATTAGTTAGTATATAGTACTATAGAAACGTTAGTTCTATTAAGTAGAAATTTATTAGTAAAGAGTTAGGCTCTTAACCTAGACTCTCTAGTCTAAGTTAGAATAATCTACTTACGTACGCTTACTTAACGCAGCTCTTAAGCTCTTAAGCCTACTAAGGCTACGCAGCGCCTTAGGCGTCTACTATCTTAGATAGCTACTTAGCTAGCATCTTTATAATATACTTATATCTATACGTCTACTTATACCTATATATCTACTTATACCTATACATCTATCTACACTTATATACCTACTTATATACGCTACCTTATATACTACATAATACTTAATTACTCTATACTATACGTATTATATTATATTACACGTATATACTAATATACTAAATATAGCTTTATATTTAGCTACTCTTATAGAAATACTATTACTAGTAATATTATAATACTATTACTTTTACTATTACGTATAATTACCCTGCTACTTATATATAAATGTAAGAATACTCTACTACTACCTATAAAAGCTGCGCTAACGCTTCTCTAGACCTATACTAATATAACACTTAACTAATATATTACACGTGCCTTAGCGTTACTTAAGTAATATAAAAGTATATCTCTAGACTATTCTATGCCTCTAGCTCTTCTATAAACTTAGCCTTAGCGCTCTTTAGCTTCTTACTACTTTTACCTACTCTTTTAGATAATAATTTTAGTAGTTTCTTCTATTCTACTATAAAAGTATTCTCTATATTATTTATATTATCTATCTTCTATTAGCCTACGCTGCGTAGCTATATATATACACATACACTATATATCTACTTATCTCTTTATATTTTTAAAGAGCTACTTAAATAGCTTAAGCGCTGCTTTTAACTCTAGCTTTAACGCGCTAGTTATAGTCTTATTCTTCTTACTAACTTTAGCAGCCTTTCTATATACTACTATTTTTTTATTAGAAGACTTAAAGTCTACCTTATTTATAATTCTATTTAGGTATGCTTTTAATACTACCTATTATTAGCTATATATATATATATATACGCACATATACTATAAAAATACTTACTAGTTATAACTAAGCTAAGAATAGAAGAGAGCGTTATTTTATTACACTTATAGCTTGTTTAATGCTTTTAAATATTTAGAGTTTTTATAGATATTTAAGAATACTTTTCTTACTTTAAAGTTTTTATAAATAATATACGCTTCTTTACTATTACTCTCTTATAACTAGACTGCTTTTTTAGCTCTTACTTTTTAAGCTCTTTCTTCTACTTTAGCTCTTTAGCTACTACGCTTTAGAATATAACTTAAATTAATTTAGAATACCTATTACGTTCTAGCTACTTAACTTACACTTACTATAATTATGTTTTCTATTCTATCTATAGCTACTACAATTACGCTTACTATCTCTTCTTAGTAAAGAGTTAGGCTACTATAATAATAGTACTTACTAGAATTAGTAGTATAGTTACTAGCACTAGAATATTATTAAAAGTATTAGTTAATATAGTAGTATAATATAAAAGACTTATCTAAAGTATAAGTAGTAGCTCTTTATACTAGTAATAGTTTAGATAGTAGTAACTTTCTACTAGTACTAGTATAGACTTACTAGGTCTAGATAGTTTAGACTATTTATAATACTAGATTCTACTACTTTAAAAAGTATAACTTTTTTAGTAGTAGTTTATAATATTTAGACTTTACTAATAAAATTAGAACCTAAAGAAAGTATAAAAGTAGTATTATAGTAGTAGTAGATTTATATTTATAAGCTATAAAAAAACTTATAAATACTAATTTTATATACTATAAGTAGCGCGTTATATATTTAAAAAAAAACTATTATAGATTAGATAGTATCTAGTACTATTATTTTATATAAGCTTATACTTAATTTAATTTTATTATAAAGATTAAAGTTTTAATAATATTATTTTAAGTCTAGAGAAAGTTATAGGTATAGCGTACTATACGTAATCTTAAATACTAAAGTAAGTAGTTTCTACTACTTTATTTAACCTTTATATACTTATTATAATATATATAATATTATACTATAAAGATCTAGCGTAGAAAACGCTATAGTTTATTATAGAGCTACTAACTATAAAAGGTATAGTAGTAATACTAGGCTATTAATAGCTTTATAAAATTATAAAAAATAATAAATTAAAAGTATTATAAAGAGTAAGCTACTATTTATAAGATATAAGTTTAAGTATAATTATATTATAATAACTACTAACTAACTAGTGTAGAAGAAGAAACTAAGTACCTATTAAGAAATTACGTAACAGAACTGCTAGTCTAGAAAGTCTGTAAGCGCCTCTAAACCCGCATAGAAATCAAGTTCTATATTATAGGTGACATAGAACAGGCGGAGTCTTACGAGGAATAGTTGTCATAGAAGGCGGCCAACACGGGCTGAGAATAGAAGAATGCTAGCTACCGAAATGGTGGACAGGTTCGTCCAAGGGGCAGGGTCGGCTGATTTAATTTCCAGTATTTTCTCTTTCTCCTCACTTATGTGTAGAGGAGCGTGTAGGCAGGATGATTGCAGCTGTGTTCGGGATCTTCGAAGTAGCCGGTAGCGTGGCATCACCGAGCAGCTAGAATACTAGAGTCGGCCCAAAATGTAATTTTATTGCGGAGAGCATTAGAAGCGTGGGACCAATAAGAGTAACCCGAAATACTCGGTGCTTAATGCGCGTAGATACCTAGCCAATGGTCGACGGTGGGGGGATGAAAGAAGCTGTCAGAAACACGCGACGCGGCTGGCAGGGAAGACGCGTCTCGCTTAATCAGCACGCTACTCGCAACTCGCGTGAACGGCATTGCTCTTTCCCTTTGCCGCGTGTCAACACTTTGGAGATATCATTATATGCTACGCGATCCGCGCACCCAACAGATGACATCTACCGTTACGGTTCGACTGCGGCGCGCAGCGGAACAGTCAGCACATCGCAGAATGAACAGAGGAATGGGTATCAACGAATACATTAAGCTATCATGACTTTAGGACCATCTCGTTAAGTCGTCATCTATCTAAGCGGCTCGACAGCGCGTCCCCCTATTCATACCTCAAACCGTGTCCGAACTTGAAGACAGGGTTCTCGGTATCGAACGGCACGTCCTCCTTGCTCGCCTCAACCGCCTCGTCGCTCCTCGGGAGATCAAACGGCAGCTTACCCTCCGGACCGCTACCGTCAACGCCGAAGATAACATCGAGGAAGGCTTGAGGGCTAGTCCCGTAGTTGACCATGAGGGCTTGGGCTTGCTCGGCAATCTCGGGCACAGCAGCAGGGCGGTCAAGGAAGATATCAACAATGGTGGGGACGGCAGCGTAGATGGCTGCTTGGCGCGCCTTCTCAGTGCTGTTGTACTCGAGAGAGCCAGAGTGGTAGTTCTTCTCGAAACCACCTGGGCGGGGCTCGTAGGGGGCGGCCATACGGAGGAAGGCGTAGTCGGCTTCTTCGGGGGTTGCGACGACAGCCAGGTCGCGGGCCTCTAGGTAGGTGCTGTTGATACCTTCGACGTAGAACTTGGCTTTGGAGCAGTCGGAAGCCTTGAGTGGGAGAGTCGATTCCTTGTTGGTAAGCAGTGTAATCGACTTCTTCTGAGCCTCGTATCCGGCTTCGACCCATTCTTTCCTGGCCACGTTGGCCACGGCTTCCTCGGGATCTACGAAGGGGTTGTCGAAGAGGCCGAGGATGAACTTTTCGCGGAGGAGACGGCGGACCGACATGTCAATACGCTCTTCGCTCACGATGCTCTTCTCTACCAACTCGAGAACGAGGTCAGTGCGCTCCTCGCCGCCCATCTGGTCGGTACCGGCATTCAAGATCTTCTCGGCACGCTCAAGCTCAGTCAGGTTCTCAGCACCCCAAGCACGAGCTGGCATGTCTTGTCCTGCGATGATGCCGTCGGTGATGAGACCCCAGTCGCTGACGACGATTCCGTCGAAACCGAGCTCGCCCCGGAGAAGGTCGGTGACAATGCCCTTGTTCATGCCAGCGGCGACCTCCTCGTACTTGGTGCCCATAGGCCTGGAGTAGTAGGGCATCATCTGCCTTGCGCCAGCTGCGATAGCAGCCTTGAAGGGGATAAGATGATGCTCGAAGTTGTTTCCTGGGTATGTGGCATTCTTGCCGTAGGTGAAGTGGCTGTCCTCACCGTCTTCGACTGGTCCACTTCCGGGGAAATGCTTCGACACGGTGGTCACGGAATCTTGTCCGAACTCACCGGGGCCATGGAAGCCCTTGATGTATGCGACCACAAGCTCAGCGGTCAATGTGGCGTTCTCGCCCATTGTCGTGGTGATTCTGGCCCATCTCGGTTCGGTGGCGACGTCAATCTGAGGGTGTAGGGCGGATCTGATTCCGACAGCCTTATATTCTTGTCGTGCAATATCCGCAAAGGTGTGGATGAGCTCAGCGTCACGTAGTGCTGCCAATCCCAGGCTTCCGGGCCACTGCGAGAACTTGACTGCCGCGATCTGGCTGCCGGTGGCATCAACGAAAGTGTGCCTGGGATCCGAAGAAAGCGTAATCGGTATGCCGAGTCTGGTGTCCAAAGCCAGCTGCTGAAGACTGTTGTGCCACCGCGCAGATTGGCGTACATCGGTGATGGCACCGTTGAGGTTGAAATGTGTCATGTGCTTTCCTTGGATTGACGGCGCAGTTGTGTTCGATAGGGTTCCGTTAGGTCCTGGGAAGCTGATCTGCTGGAAGAGCTGTCCGGCCTTTTCTTCCATGTTCATGCGTTGGATGAGATCCTCCACACGCTCATCTACCGATAGAGAAGCATCTCGGTATGGTGCTGAGTCCATCTCTGTTGACCGCGATGTCATTCGCGGGTATTTTGCACCACTTGAGGTCGGAATTCGGATGGCTGTTGACATGGCTGTTGCAGCAAAGAACAGCGTTGTGAAGGTGTTCAGCTTGCGCTGACTGCGGTTGCGAGCGACCATCTTGCCGGTAGTATGAGTTGAGGCACGAGGTGAAGGGTGAGGTCGGTTGCTACTGACTGTTCGGTAGACGGCCTTGACCCAGGTATTTGTAGTCTGGCTTCATACACCCCGTCACGATGCGTTGCCGACATGTGCGCTATGTCCGAGGGACTTTGAAGTTTTGCTGCTGCTTGGGGAAACTTCGGATAGACCGTCGTCTTGGAACCCGTACCAACAACCAGCTTCTCATTGGCCTTGGCGCAGTCGAGATTGCCATTAGCTGGAGCCGACGATTTGCCAAGGCGATGAGTGTGGAGTGCATTGTGGGGGAAACGTGGGTCGGGGTAAAGCCCCCGAAGCTAAGCCCTCATTTCCCGCCGAATACTAGTCCGGCAGATTGGTGATTGGGTGCGCACACACGCTACGAATGCTCATGACATATAACGAACGGTTCGACACACCCTTTCGAGCTGGTAGCTCAGCTGTCATGTGAGCAAACAAAAAACTGCGCACCCTGGGTCTGACGCGCAACTCCACATTCCGCCCTTCGTAAATGACTCGACATCCACGATTACGGAGCATTTGAAAAACGTCCGATCCGGGGGCGTGCCGCATGCCGGTTATGAGATTCCGGTGCTTTCTCCAGAATGACAGTGTTGCCAGTGAGTGCTTAAAGCTCCGAGTGAGGATCGTATGTCTTGGTGGTAAAGAAAGACTGTTCCTCCTCTGTCTTCGCAAAGGGGTGTCGGAGTAGACTGCAAATCTCGTCGTAACGTTTGGCGCAACGTTTTCTACGCCCGTACCCGGCCGAAATTTTGGAGCCGCAATCCCGGTACAACGAGGATACCAAGGCCATCATCGCCATGGCAAAGCTAGCCTCCTTAGCACTGTAACCACCGCCATACCACTGCGGAGGTACTCGCTGGATTCCGACACACATCCGCGTACCGCTAGACGAAGTCCAGAAAAGCCCCTCCGTTTCCGCTAGCTCTTCTTTGTCTTGACTCGACCGCCTTCTCGGCTTCTACTTCCACTGGTCGGGAAGATGTGCTCGTGCCGACGTGGAGGATATGCACTATGATGCACGTTGTTCCCCGCGGTATGCTTTAGCCAACGAGGGTTGCATCTTGGCTAAAGTTCGGATCGCAGCCCGGCAGTGATGCGAAAGTCTGGAGGGTGGCTCAATGGCACTACTGGGAGTGCGCGCAGGCCCTGGGTCTGCTGGTCATTGTAGTCATTTCAGATGAGGCCCCTCTCCATGAACACGCGGATTTTTGTGCCTAGGTTGATGGTCAAAACAACAAAACGAGAAGCGAATGATACATGATAAACAACAAATGAAGACTTACGAGGTATCTAATACAAGTAATGGGCATCAACACCCATGCCAAGGTCGGTACGCTACCTGCGTAATGCTTGCACCGTGTGGTGTTCACTTTGCGCGGTACCTGTTCAATGATTCTTCCATGTCGACGCTGAAACCTGCAAAGTGACCCTCTCGGGCGTCGTGGGTTGATGTTGGAAAGCTTTGATCTAGTGCTACCGAATGGCTGGGTGCGATTGTGGGGTTAGCGAGCTGACGCAGGAAAGTGCGACGTAACGCAACGACAGCCACGGCATCAAATTTATGGACGATATGGACATCTAATTTCGCGAATGCCTCTTCCAAGACCTTCAAGCGAGTGCGCGCGACACTCGGGGTGACTGTGCAGGCTATTTCGGTGTACTAAGATCACCCATCATCTGCCTCCTCCGCCCACGATAGAAGCGCTCGAGCATCTTCCTCCTCTCTTCTTGCGTACTGCTTTCCACAAGCAGCGCAAACTCTACCGGATCATCAAACCCCATACTCTCCGCCATGCTACAGAACTGTCGCTTTCGCACATCCTCGCTCGGTCTATACCGGTAGTTGATCTTGAACTCGCCTTTCGTCGCACTACCAGTAACATGGACCTCGTCGCCTTCTTCAGCGTCGGTCTCATCCCCATGATCCCGATTACCGGACTGATGCTGTGATTGAGATTGCGACTGCGTACTCTGGAAGACGCGTTTGCCTGCGAGATCGATATCGTTGCGTACCTCCATGGCCTGTTTACCTAGTCGAGCTTCTATCTCGCTGCGCCCGATGACCTCTGAGTTCTCGTGCGTATATTGAACTCCAGCCTTCGCAAGAATTGCGTTGATTGGATCAGGCCCAGTGCGCCTTGTGGCTCTCATCTTGCCCTTGCCGCCGGTGGTTGTTGAAAGGATTGAATCAGCGAACTTCTTGATGCCGGCGATATTAGCGTTGTCATCAAGGCCGAGGTTCTTGTTGGAAAGGATATCCTCATCCTCAGAGTCGTACTGCGACTCATCGACATGGAAGTCATAAGCGTTGACGCCGGCTTTTGATTCAGCGACGTTCGTCTTGTGCATGATGTCGCGAAGCAGCACGCTGTGCTCCTGGAAGGTGAAGAGGTTTTCCAGACCAAACAGCTCGCCCTTTTTGGTGGATTGATCCATCACACCCTTGAAGTAGCGACGTTCTTCCGAAGCATTGTAACCAATGTTCGCTTGCTGTTGCTTGTAAATCTGACGAGCGTAGACCACCTCCTCGATAGTACCGCTTGACACTAGTCGAAATACCTCAACGTTGCGTGTCTGACCAATACGGTACGCTCGATCTTGTGCCTGCAGGTCATAGGCTGGATTCCAATGCGGATCCATCACGACAACCTTGTTAGCCGACGTGATGTTCAGACCCACTCCTCCCGCCTTAGTGCTGATTAAGAACACGAACTGGTTCGGATCTGCGTTGAAGTCTGCAACAGCCTGGGAACGATCTTCGTACTTCATGCTGCCGTCAAGGTACGAGAAATTGTACTTTGTACCGTCGACATCGAAGAGACCTCTAAGTAGCCTCAACAGGCGAACGGAATGTGAGAAGATAAGCACCTTGTCGCCATTCGAATGCCAGAAGTCAAGTAGCCGCCGCAGCACTTTCCATTTTCCACAAAACTCTCGCTGAGACTGTACCAAGATGTTGTCTCGAATCCTGAAGAGATCCTTGTGCGTGTTAGGGCAGGCTAGTTCCAGTGTTTGACGATCTTTGGCTTGCTTCTCTGAATTCTCGCTCGACATTGGCACGATTAGAGCTAGGTGATTTGCGAGTTTCTGAAATGTGACCATGCAGGGAAAGATGAAGTTTGACCACTTCTCGCCTTCTACATCGGCGTAACAGCAGAAACCTCTACTCTTCCCGGACCCACAGTCGCACTTTTCCCTCGAAGTGCGTATGTACTCACACCTATCGCTTTCAAGGAAGGTTCGATAGGCGTCAGCTTGAGTCTCGGTGAGCTGGCAGAATATGACGCGATCGCTCTTCTTTGGGAGCTGGTCAGCGATCAGGGTCTTCATACGCCGAAGGAAGACACTGGGTAGGATATTGTGAACGAGATCCTGAGCTCGACTTCGCGAGTCGGCAAGCTGAGCGTTGGTGGCATCGTGAGCCTGGCCTAGCTTCAGCGGAAGACTAATCTTCTGCTTCCACTCTTGGGCTGACCCGTATGCGCCAGGTCGTACCCAGTTGAGGAGGTTCCAGAGCTCCTCATATTTGTTCTGAATCGCGGTACCTGTCAACCCAATGCGACACAGTGCGTTGATTTTGTTCATTGCTTTGGTGATCTCGGAGTCCTTGCTCTTGATTTGATGGCACTCATCAGCGATGACACAGTCCCAGTCGATGGTGTTGATCTCGCTCTCATGATTGCGGTATGTCGTGTATGTCGTAATCATTATCTCTAACATGCCCTTAGCTGCAGTGCCGAGAACGCCTTTCCGATCGGCCTTGACGGGGCCATGGTATTTGTAGACTTCCCACCAGCCCCACTTGGAGAGCTCATCTTCCCAATTTTGCATGAGCGTACCAGGGCAGACGATGAGTACCCGCGGATACCAACGAGCCTTGCTCAGACCACGAATCTTCCGCATGCATTTGGCATCGCGCTCAGTGCCCGTCTTACCAAATGCTGCTGTGAGGAATGCGATGACCTGGATAGTCTTTCCCAGTCCCATGTCATCACCTAGAATCGCACCGGTCTGCTTGACGAATTTTTCATGCAAGAACTGGACGCCTTCAACCTGGTAGTCGCGCAGCCATTGAGCGATGGGGCCAGGTATGATTCCATGCGACCCGCGGAGTCTGATGTCCTTCTTTTCGCGCTGCTGCTGTACGGAGTTGTCAAGTTCTGGCTTCTCTTCAGTGCCCGCGTTAAACCAGTCAACGTCGTGATAACTGGGAGGGTATCGCAGTCCAGATTCGTGCAACTTCTTGAGTGTCTTTTGTCGCGATATGAAGTAGTCAGGGATGGGGTCGTCCAAGAAAGCTGTCGCGCCCTCATCATCGGCTAAGGTGTCGGTACTGAAGCCTGTCGGACCATAGCCATTTTTCTTGGGTGGAGGTCTGCGACCCACGATACTGGTTGCAGCCGTTGCTTTACTCTTCTTTTCACTGCGGATCCGGTTAGTTTCAGCAGTGGTGCGCTTCCGTTTCTCGGTCTTGCGTCCCGTCCATTCTTTGTGAAAAGCCCTTGGATCGTACTCGGCTTCTAACAACTCATCGTCATCGGTACCTGAGCTAGTGACATCTCTAGTTCGTGGTTCTGGTTCATCCATTGCATCGTCATCAGTATCGTCGTCCTCTTCGTCTTCGTCTTCTGTGACCTCGTCTGTAGCCTTTTGCGACTGAGTCTGGCTTTGAGTCAGGACTACCAAGGATTAGCATATTGTCAAAGGTCGAGGAAGCATCGACTGACCGTCAATATACTGGGAGAGATCCAGACCTTTCCTAGACGCATTGATGATGTCAAGATCGTCATCTTCCTCACCACTCTCGCCAAAAACTCTTCGCGCTCTCTGTTCATCCTTTGACTTGTCGCGACTGAAAGACATGATGGCCGAGGTGGCGGGTAGCAGGCGTCGGTCGTGAACGCTGTGTGACTTTGCTCAGCTTATCACTGGTACGGGCGCTTGACAATCGCATA